AAATAATGACTTTAAATCACGTCCCGGTGTCAGTGGTTCACAGTCACACCTCAAAGATCGAACGTCATTGTTTAAACTCACAGTTCCAACTTCATTCACCTTTTTACTATTTTTAGACAAAATTTTCTGAGACTGCAGATTTGTTCCAGCAGCTTGTGTTTGGATGACTTTGTTTTCTGTAGTTTTGCAAAAAAGGAAAAAGCATGCCAACTAAAAAAGTGTCATTTAGTGTAAAGATTATACATGAGTTAAGTTTATGGTCCATAAAAAGTTACAAAATGGCGAAAAATTAACAACACAAATGTTTTGTCAACATCCTAAATGTGTTCAGTTTCCTGTCATAGTACATGAAAGAAAACAAAAAATATTCACACTTAAGTAAAATTTGACTTTTTTTCATCTTAAAAAATTTAACTTATAACTCAGTTATCATAACAGTTGCCAAATTATTCAATAGTTGTGAATAAATTAATGGTTGCAGCTCTAAAGCAGCAATATGAGCCTGTTTTTTCTTTCATATCTCACAGTGATGCCTTGCTTTTTTAAGATTAAGTCAACAATTTTTCACTTTAACGTTACATTCAACAAACAAAAGCAGCAAAATTTCACATTTGAGAAGCTGAAACATGAACTGTTTAGTGTACTTTCTTTTAAAGAATTACCCAAAATGATTCCTAAAATATGTCACAAATAGATTTGATTAGTTGTCAATTGGTAAATTAAATCAGCAGCTACTTTAATCATCAATGAATCAGCTGGAGTAATTTTTTAAGAAGAAAAATGTTTGAATTCTCTGGTTGAAGCTTCTTAAATGTGAATATTTTCTGGTTTCTTTCCTCCTCTGTAATGGCAAACTGAATATCTTTGAGTTGTGGACATTTTTTGCACCATTTTCTGACATTTTCAGACATTTAAGAGACCAAACAACTGATCTAATAGCGCAGAAAGTAATCAACATAACAAAATCAACAATAAATAATCCTTAGTTGAAGTTATAGTGACAAACATGACGTTACATCACATAAACACTGAGTTATAGCAGAGGCGGAAATAAAAACACATCAGCTCGACTGTTTCGCTTGAAGTGAAAAATGATGGCGGCTGAGAACAACTAAATATTTGGATTAGTCTAAACAGGAACAGATCGATCGGAAACAACCTCTTCCAACTGCAAACATGAAACTCAACAAACTCTTCAACAGTCACACAGCTCCTTCTGGAAAGATACAAACCAGAAGACTCTGCAAAAGAAATTTGCACGGTAGCATCAGAAATATGACTTTAACTCATGTTTGGCCGTTTTTTTTTTTTGCTTGTTTTTTTTCTCTCTGGTCTCATTTTTCCTCACTGTGGACTCATTTTTCACTGCATAAAGTCCAGATTTTGTTGTCATGTGACTCCTGGTGGCAGCTGAGTCTCGGTGGGTTTCACAGTTGCGCAAAAAAACTCAAAATGTTTTGTTTTATACAGAATCTGGTTCAAGTAAACGATTTATTTTTGGTGAATCTTTAAATGAGAAATGGAATTCAGCGACTTTGATGAAATATGATGATTATAAGTTTTGATTTGGTTGTTTATCCTGATGAATCTGCGCAATAGAATGTTAAATATCAATCAATCTCAATCAATCTTTATTTCTAAAGCGCTTTTCATACTATACTGTATTTCAAAGTGCTTTACAGAGCAGAATCAAATATCTAATGATTCTTTGTGTTTTTACAATTTCTAGCTGATAAATTGTGCAACTTTCATAATTTTATAACGACAACTTGCCTTTGAAAGCTGCTGGCAGGTTTACAAGTCCTGAGGATTAAAGTTTCATATTTGGATGCTGATGGAGATACTTTCAGAGATTCCTTACTGGTTAGTTTATTGATTAATCATTTTGAAACATGAAAAAAAAAACTGCATAAAACGAGTCCAACATAACGTATTTATCGACTAACAGCAGAAAACTCAAACATGTTCACCTTCGGTTGCCATTACACAGAAGTCTTTTCTAGTTTACATGACTTCCGCTGAGACGTTCGCTTCATCCTTAAAATACGAGCTTTAAAACCACCTGAATGAAATCAGATGATCCGTCTCCTCACACCTGAAAGCAGCAGAGCGAAGCTGAGCTCTAATTATGCGGCAAGCAGCAATGAAGGCAGCAGTGCCCGCAGCGCAGAAAACTCAGCGTGTAATTAACTGCATTTCCATGTGAAAGCGAGGCTGCAGCTCTAATCGCAGCTCAGCACCTGAGGCCACGGAGCAGCAGCATGACTGAACCCCTCAGGAATGTCAAGCACTGTTAAAAACAGTGGAGCTGCTGCCGCTGGAGGCCTCCGGCTTCAGAAATAGACAGGTATTTTTAAAAGGCCGAGTCGCAGTGCCGAGAAAACCAACACGGCTGCTGGCAGAGCTGCAGAGAAGCTTCCATTCCATCAATCTTTAAATCGGTTCACGACAATCTGAGGGGACGATTTCTCGTCTTCATTTGTTCCACCAACAGTCCAAAACCTCAAAATGTCTAAAGAGTTGTGTTTCTTAGTTTAGGGTTATTTTATGTTTGTTTTATGAGAGTTAAGAAAAAACAAAAGTCTCACCAAACTCAATAGAAATATCTTCGAGTTTTAAGTTTTCTTCCAAGTTAGCAATTAAGTTTCAATTCTGCAACACAACATTTGATCTTATTTGTATTTCTGCAACAAAAAACAATCACTTCACCAAAGAAAAGACCATGAGCTGTAACTGAAAGCTCCAGAAAAGGCCAGTAACTGGACTTTGAGGAGATGCAGTCTGGATCCTAACAGAACAGAATATTTAGTTTATACTCAGGTGGAAAATAAAACCATGCTTCTTACTGTTTAGGGTCATTTCCTACTTAAGCAAGCATGCAAAAGCCTGACCAAACTTCACTTTATATATATATATATATATTGATCTAAGCAACAGAAAATCTCACCAAAGATAGATAGAAATAATCTAATTTCAAGTTTTTCTCCAGATTTGATTGATATGTTTGTAGTTTTAACAATCTAAAGTTACATTCAGGACAAAGAAGACAATACTCAGGATTATCAGTAAGTTTTATGTCAATCTGCTCAACAATTACTGTAACTAACGAAAAACTAAATGACGGCAGAAGTATCACAGAACTAATTCTTAACTCAAAGTCCACTTACTACATTTCATGTCATGGCCTTCATCAGCAGACTAACAGGATGATATTAGATTTTTTTAGTTTAATAAAAGCAAACAGTGTAAGAAGGACCAAGAGACGTGACGGAAAGTTTCAAAAAAAGCCAGTAAGTCCCATCAAACCAAGACTGGGCTTGGTCATCCCCAACCAAAGTCTGCAATTTTCGGAGGATTCAACAGAAAATGTCATTTTTCTTTAATTCATTACTTAAATTTAAGCGTTAACTTGTAAGATGAATCAGTCAATAAGTTCTTTGTCTGTCCAACCTGCAGAATTACACTCAAATATTTAAGCTTACAGTCACAAAAGCAGTAAATTATCATCTGAATCCACAGTTGGGACGATGCATTTAGAGGCATCGGGACATCAGGCTGCCGACTTCACACCTTGGAGCTGCAGAGCAAACACTGGAAATCGTAAAGTGATGGAGGCTCAGCAGGAACTGTGGGAGGCTGACCCTGCAGTCAGGTCAGAAAATAGCTGCAACCCCCATCAGACGACACTCCTCCCCCAACAATGAAAACTATGTCCTCCATGCTGCACCGCCGGCAGTCAGAATCACTCATCCCCAAAGTTTCCAGGTTACATCACCGATTTCCAGCTTGAACATCCAATAATGAAAAAAACTTCAACGATGCTCTTCATGTCTTTGACCCAAAACACCAAACTCCATTGAAATTTCCTCCAATTGAAAGTTTCTCCTTCTAGTTTACAGTTGCACCAACATCTCATGGCACAACTTTCAATCCTTTCAATACTTTAAGTCGGGACACAACAACTTCAAAGAGAAGACAATGAGCTGCGACTGACAGCTCCAGAAAAAAGCCAGTAAATGGACATCGCAGGGCAGCAATCCGGATCTGAGCCATTGTTTTGTTCACTAACAGTTTAAAAATACAGCTAGGGCTCATATCTGAAGCAAAATCACGTTTCTTTCTGTTTAAAAACACATGTTATGTTTATTTCAAATCAGAAAAGGTCAAATTTAAGATACACAAACTTCTACCAAACTCATATCAAACATAAAAGTCAAACAATGTAAAGTTTTTTCCTCCAGTTTGCAATTATGCTTGAATATCAGGGCACAATTTCTTTGAAATTTAACAACACAAGCTGTGATTCAGGAAGCAATCACTTTAGCAAACATTTAAATCAGGTCAAAGTCACTTCTTTTAAACAAGATAAGGCCGGAGGAAGGAACGGAAAGCTCCAGAAAAGGCAAGTACATAGACCGTACAGGGCTGTAGTCAAGATATCCAACGTGATTTTGTTCAAAAAATAGTCCAGAAATGTTGCTTTGTACTCAAAAACGAAGCAAAATCATGTGTCTTGCTATTTAAAGGTCATTTCCCCCTCTTACAGCCCAAAACAAAAAAGTCTCACTAAACTCCATAGAAAATTCCTCACATTGTACGTTTTCTTTCCACTTTACAATCACGCTGAGATCTTACTACAAAACACGTTCTTTTGGGGATTTTAACAACATAAACTTTTATTCAGCAAACAACCACCAAAGACAAAGCTAAGAGCTGCGACTTAAGGCTTCAACTGGCGTAACACCTTCGAGCAGCTGCTGCTCGTTGAGCTGCACTGAAGCGACTCATTATGTGGGATTTTATTTTTTATTTTTTGTCGGAAAGTGTGTTTTGAAGGTGTTTGTGTGTGCCGAATAAAAGACCGGCACCTTCAGATTTGTGCACCTGTGTGTTTGTTTCGTTTCAAGTCGCCGTTTTTAGCAGGGAGTGAGAAAAACTTTAAATTGTGAGTTTTTTCAAGGGGGTTCGGCGTCAGCGGGGAGAAGGGACTGTGATCTTACCGAGGTGCAGGGTGAGGTTGATGGAGTTCGGGTACTGGATGCCCGCCAGCATGGTCTGGCTCTGCCACCAGGTGGTGTCCTGCTGCTGGTTGTAGTCGGTCAGGTACACGGCGCTGTGGTGGTTCCGGGGGTCCCGGGCGTCGCAGATGTGGCAAGACTTGGTGACGCCGGTGGCGCCCGTCTGGACGCAGTACTCCTCGGGCGGAGAGCCGCAGGTGTTGGTCGCCACCACCGTCACGTTGAACGCGGCGTTGACAAACTCGGGCATGCAGCGCTGCGGTCGGCCCTGCTCGTCCGAACATTCGTCCATGGCAGCGCGGACACACACCGCCGCCACCCAGCTCCAAGCCACCAGAGCCCGGATCAAACTCGGCATTTTTTCAGCCCTGAAAACTCCGACTCGAACGCTCCGTCAACTCGTCCGAAGTTTGCGGCAACTCTCCAGTTAGCGGCAGATTGGCCCAACTCCCAGTGAAACATGCGGGAAATCTCAGCAGCGGCGGTTCGTTCGTTCCAGGCCGCGTCCGCAGCTCTTCTCCCGGCTGTGCTGCTGCTGCTGTGTGACGATCTGCGCTCGGCCTCAGTTCTTTGTGTCCTCCGCCGCCGCCATGCAACAAACTCCGGCAGGAAAAGACGGGGGTCCAGACTACACCCAGTCCGCGACTGCGCAGCTCTGCGGCGCAGAGGACACTCCGCCACTTCCGTAAACTTCCAGGGAAATCTCAGCAGGACACTTTTGGAAAGGTTGTATTCCATCATTCACTGGGTTCATAAATAGCTTCACCAGCTACTTTAAATCACCGAAATGTCTGGTTCACAAGAACTAAAAAGCAAACAAAATGTATACCTGTATCTGTAAGTCCTTGCTTTTTTTAATTTGCCTTGATTTGTTGCTGCTTTACGAGTTCTTTGTCCATTGTTATATATGTGCCTCTTGTTGGTTGTTCTGTCTGTTCTGCTTTCTTCTCTTTTTTTGATTTTATATCATACTTGTTAGAATGCTGTATGAGCAGTACAACAGACAATAATAATACACTGTACTGATGTTGATTGAATGCACCCTGACTTGAATGTAACAACTGCATTAAGTTGAATTAATTAAAAAAAAAAAACTTTTTACCCTCAGACATCCTGCCGAGGCTCAAACAAAACTAATAAACTCGACAGCACACTGAGAGGAGTAATATATAGAAATACTGTAATTAAATATAATAATCACTTTTTTAAATTTACAATATCAAATCAAATCTGCATCACATACTCAAAATAAGGAAGCTATATGGACAACATAACATTTAACATAACAAATATATTTAAAAACATACTCACTAAAGCTAAACAACGTTTTCTCAACATTGATAGCATGTAAACTTCCAAGAAAATTATGAAATTGTCATAATTTTTATTTTCAGACATCCTGTTGTGACTCAAATATAACTAATATACTGCATAACACACTCAAAAATAAACAAAATAAAATTGAGTAAATAAATTAACACAATGAATAAAACACAACCTACATTTGCAACTAAATAATAAACTTTGCAGTTAATATAAATAAATGATCATTTATCTTGGTATTTTTTATTTATTTATTTATTTATTCATTCATACATTTCATTTTTATGTGCTTCTATTACATCAGTATTTACTGCTTCATTTTTAATGCAAATGTATATTTGTTTAATGATTTTCATCTGATAGTCCCTTTTGGACCCATATATAATACTAATAACAACAACAACAACAACACCAACACAAGAAAAACAACAATCATAATAAAAATCCAACAGCCCCACCTGCTGGTGTTTATTGTGACTCAGTAGTCAAAATGCTCTAATAAACTTTTCTTCATTTAAGAAAATGAATATTTCATTGACTTCATATTTGACCAGAGATGTTTATTGTTTTTGTTCTCATGTCTGTTGGCAGTATTTTCATGATTTATTTCTATTTTTTGTTGTGAAGCACTTTGTAGCATTTTGAAGAAAAGTGGTGCATATATAAAGTTTATGATTGTTAAACTACTTTTTTTTTAAAATCCTGCAGCCATTTTCAGATATTATACAGGTATTTGTGCTGAATTGAAGTTGTGGGAAGAATCACCAGAGAAGAAAGAAACCAAACAAATGACAAATGTAAAAAAAGAAAGAAAGATTGATTTATTTATTGAACAATATTGACAGGTGATCAGTACAAACAGCTTCCAGTTAAACTCACATGTGACCAAACATTTACAGAAGCCCAAACTTTATGTTTATTCTAACAGCTGCTCTTTACACTCACTTCTCTACACAGCAACAACAAACAAGGAGAAGAAGGTTTGTGACGTTACTAAACTGAAGACTACAACTACTGATGGAGGATGTCGGGATGTTAGTATCCTCCCCTGTATCCCCCCCTGCCTCCCCCTCCGCCATACCCTCCCCTGTATCCTCCCCCATCTCCCCCACCACAGTATCCTCCTCCTCCTCTGTAGCCTCCACCCCCTCTATAACCTCCTCCTCCTCCTCCATATCCACCTCCTCCTCCTCCATATCCACCTCCTCCTCCATATCCACCTCCTCCTCTGTAACCTCCTCCACCTCTGTATCCTCCTCCTCCATAGCCGCCACCTCCCCTGTAGCCTCCCCCTCCACCACCACCTCCCCTATATCCTCCTCTGTAACCTCCCCCTCCTCGGTATCCTCCTCCTCCCTGGTAACCTCCTCCACCTCCTCCATCAAAACGTGCCATCTTCGGGGGTCGAGGGCCGTCTCCCATCCTGCACAGAAACACCACAGAGGATTTTAAGTTTTATTTAGAATCACATTCTTCAAAAGCTGTTGTGATTTTCTGACATCTTTTTGCGTTTCTTTAGCAACTTTTCATGGTAAGTTTTTAACAGTGAACTTGCAACATTTTGTTTGTCATCTCGTGGTCACATTTGGTCACTTTGCATGCTTTTGTGGTAATTCTACATTATCTTTTTAGTTTATATTGTTTTGGTGACTTTATTGTCATGCTTTGTATGTTTGTGGTAGTTTTGCATCATATTGTGTCATTTTGGTAACTTTCATCTTTTTATAGTCGCTTTGCAACTGTTTGTGGTCATTTTGTGTTTGTTTTACAACTTTTAAATGCTCAATTTGCAACCTTAATTTTTTTGTGGTCACATTTCTTTTAAACCATTTTGTGTCATTTTGTATCATGTCTTAGTTTGTAACTTTTTACATTTGGGTAATTTTGCAGCTTTCTGGGTTATATTTTCATCATAGTTTTAGTCTGGCAACTTTTTTTGTGGTCATTTTGCCTCTTTTTCTGATAAGTTTGCATTACATAATTTTTATATGACATCTTTTAATTTTTCTGTTTCACATTTTGGTCACTTTGTAATGTTTTGGGGCCATTTTATGGTCTGATCAGAGCTGATAGTTCAGTACAAAAACAGTCTTGAGTTGGATAATGTGAATCTGGTCCTCTGTGTGTTCGTACCTGTGGTTGCTGACCATCAGGTTGAGTCCGGCAGCTGATGGTTTGGAGATGTGCCTGATGACATTCAGGAGCCTCTCGTTGGTTTGGTCCATCTGGCTAATGTATTCTGGGTCTTTGGTCACTTCCACCACCAGAGCCTCCAGTCCGGCCCGCAGAGCTGCGATGCCTCCCGCCACATCATGAGGAATCCTCAGTTTGATCCTGCAGACATTGAAAAGTCAACACTCACTTCTTCTGGGACTGAAATCCTGCAGTTTCCAGGACGCTGACACTGACAGTCAGTATGATTTCAGGCCACCAAGAATTTCTTTGGTTAACCGGCTTGGAATCAAACCGGGAACCATCTGCTGGTAACGTGGTTTCGTACATCAACTGTTGGACATTCACAGCTTGTGAACAATTTTAGGAAACGATAAATATTTGAAAAGCACATTAATCAATAATACGAACACTGGTGAGCTGTGATCAGATCCTCACCAGTCGTCGAGCTCCACGATTTCTCCGTTGGACGTGATCTTCTTGCAGGCGAACAGAAGCAGCTGCAAAGGGCTGACCAGAGTCATGCCTTTGGCTGAAATCGCTCTGGTTCGGATCTGAAACATAAACAACAAACCTGTAGAACAACAAGGTTTCCACACTTTCAGCAACTTTCTCTAAAGGCCCGACAGATGTAAGTTACTCATTATAATCCAGAAAATTTTGGTGAATTTCTGAGTTCTCTCCTTCTTCATGGAGTTCTGCTTCCATCGAGGTGCAGGACTTTATGTTGCAGGGAATCATGAGCCACAGTGAGGAAAAAAGTGACAGAAGGAAAAAAAAAAACAGAAACTGCTTGGAGTTAAGAGGGTTAAACAGGTCCAATTGCCTGATAATTAGCTCCAAAGTGTACAGAAATTTCTTGGAAATATTCTTGTAATTTACAGCAAATTTGTAGCTAATTTAATGGAAATAAAGAGGAAAGTTTAGAGGAAATTAGGTGTAAAAGCAGGAACAGGAAGAAAAAAAAACTGACATTGGTTTTGTAGTATTAAAAAAAAACAAAAAAAAACTCTGTTCAGGTAGACAGTTTTGAAATGTAAAAATTTTTCCTGACTTTCCTTTTTTTTTTTTTTTTAAAGTCAGGAAACCAAACAACAAACTCTTATAAAATTTGTAAAATCGAATATATGTAAATATTATTATCTATTTAATCCTAAATTGTGTTGACGTGTCTTAAAACCAGAGAGATTGTGGGGTTAAACAGATTTCGAGAACAAAACACTACAACACCATTTCAATGTTGTAGAAAAGGGGATAAAAATGTGAAACGCACCTTCTCGCCAAAGACGAAGAACGGCGACGGGTATGTCATGTCCTGATTGCTGAAGGGACAGTTGACGGAGGATTTGTGGATGAGGGCATTGCGTCCCTCCGTGGTCAGGATCTTCCTCTTCTCTTTGTGGTAGCAGACGTTGGGGTACGAGCCGAAGGTCAGGAGAGAAACCACCACGTCCAGGTTGTTGTCAGGTCCCACCGTGTTGAACATCTGCGTCAGCAAACACTCTTGACGGACAACAACAACAGCGATGGTCACTTCAGCGGTCACATTTACATCCATCAGAGCAAACCAGTGGTGCGTTCAGGTACCTTCAGGGAATCCGGCATTGACAAGGATCTCCTTCAGCTGGACTTTGGCCTCCCAGGTCATCCTTAGAGTCGACATGTTGAGACGTTTGTGTTCACAGAAACGACCTTCTGCCTCCTCGCCGTTGATCCTGAGAACGATAATTAATTAGGATAATTAACAAGAATCGTGATGCTGCAATCATGACACAAACAGCAAACAGTCAATTTCTTTGATAAAAACTCTTTTTAAGAAAAACGCAACATAAAAAATACAAAATACCCTTCAACACTACAGAGGGGGCATTAAGAAAGATAATTATATTCCATTGTATTAGTTTAATTCAAGAATATCAACGCAAAATAAATATGAATACCCTTCAACCCTTCAAGTATTTAAGAAAATTAAAAACAACTAACAATAAAGTAAAATAAATATCTATTTATTTTACATGTTTATATACACACACACACACACACACACACACACACACACACACACGCAATATATAACTAAATAAACATAAATGCCTTTGAGCACTACAAAAAAATGGGAATAGAGAAAAAAATCTAAATTAACCTATACTGAATTAATATAGAATTTTTTGTTTGTTTTTTAAAATCTTATAATTATAAAAAACCAAAATAAACACCCTTCATCACTACACAAGACTTTTTTTTGAAGTACGAAATTAAGTAAAATAAAAGCATAATTTAATTAATTTTAAATGTTTTTTAAGTTAATCAAAAGCTATACATATATAATATAAATACCTGCACAAGGAATATAAAATAACTAAAAAATAAATAAATTAGAAATCAAAACAAAAATTAGAAATTAATTCATATTAAATGTTATTTGTTTATTCAAAAAATAGAAATATGCGATTTTTTTATATCTATATTTATTTCTGTTCTTCGAGAGAAACTTCAAAAACTGATGCTGCAGTCTGTAACATGCATAAAGCCGGTAATTTATTTATTCTGATGGTATTTGTAAAACCGACCTGACGTCGTCCCAGGCCTGGAAGACGGACAGCAGCGCCACGTGATCTGAGAAGCGGCTACCAGCGAAGTTTCTGTGGACGAAACCGAGACGTTTCCCTTCATTGATGAACGGCTCTGGGAAGCAGGAGGCGGCCGAGATGGTGCACATCGCATCTCCGACACTGCAGGGGACAGAGGGAAATGACTTTTAAACTGAATATATACCAGCGTTGGGCAATTCTGTGGCTCGGTAGTGAAGAGACACCAACTGGAAGATGCAGCCCATTATCATCATCTTCCCCAGCCGCGGCTCGATGGGTAGCCGAGCCAGAATCCGTCCCAGAGGAGTCAGTTCATCGTTGGTGTCGAGGGCGTCCAGCTCTGACATACAAACACACAGTCAAGAAACCTGCAGAATCCAACACTGGTTTGATTATCATACAGAAAAGAAGGCACGTCTGATCTGGAGACTCTTCTCTTCCTTCAGAATCACAGCTGCACCTTTCAGAGTGTGTTCGGCCTCGATGACTGCGTCCAGTGGTGGCGGCTCGATGGCTTTGGACAGAAAGTGGCCAATGGCTCCGAGTCTCAGCAGCTTGATGCTCAGAGCGACTTCGTGAAGCGGAGTCCTGAAGATCTCTGGAGTCATGTGATTCTCCAGCCTGCAGGGAAACACAAAAACCACCTGCTAACCTGAAGGAAACTACAAACTCTGCAGCCCAGCTCCCTTCACCGACAGTTAGCAACCAATAATCTATTAATTGTTGAAATTAATGTTTTTAACCACTGACACTTAATGTTTGACATAAAGTCAACTCAGGTACAACAAATCAAGTAACAGAAGCTTTCTGAATCATAAATTAAACAGCAAAGGAATAAAGACTTTGTTTAAGTATTATCTTTCTAAACTCCATGTAGTTTCTGGGCATGTTTGTGGTCCTGTCACATTTTTTCCTTACTACGGGTTCATTTTTCACTGCAGTATAAAGTCCTGAACCTCTATGGAAACACAACAATTATAAAAACAGGACAGACAGCTTAGAAATTTGTCTTTGCAATATAATTCTCAGTTGCAACCAGGAGAAACTTTTACTTTTATTAATTATTTTACAGGATCTGGTGCAAATGGTTATTTAAACCCACAAAATCTGCTAGAAACTTGGGTGTCATGATTGATGACTAACTAACCTTCAAGGTTCATGTGGCCTCTGTTGCTCGGTCATGATGATTCGCCCTGTCAGGAAAATCAGACCTTTCCTGTCTGAACATGCAGCACAACTCCTGGTACAAGCTCTAATGATATCACGCATTGACTACTGCAACTCCTTACTGGCAGGCCTCCCCACATCCACGGTCAAACCTCTGCAGATAATCCAGAATGCAGCAGAACGTCTGGTTTTCAACCAGCCACAAACAGCACGTCACCCCGCTGTTCAGATCGCTTCACTGGTTTCCAGTTGCTGCCCACATCAAATTCAAAACCCTGACACTTGCTTACAAAACCAAATTGAGAAGAGCTCCCTCCTACCTGAACTCTCTCATTAAGATCTACACTCCCTCCCGCTCACTACGCTCAACCAACAAAAACCACCTGATACAACCACCACAACAGGGCCCAAGGTCGATAGCGAGACTCTTCTCCTCTGTGGTGGAACGAGTTACCAAACTCTGTTCAATCTGCTGACTCCCTCTCAATCTTTAAGAAAATACTAAAGACCCTGCTCTTCACTGCTTTGGATAAAAGCGTCTGCTAAATGAAATTGTAGAATTGTAGAATTCATGCAGCATTTTTAAAAACGATAAGTAGAATTAAAAGGCATTTCAATGAAATATCACAATTTTATGTTCCAATCTGGTTATTTTTCCTGTTGTAACTGTACACCACACTGGCAGAAAGTTGAAACTCAGATTATTCTTTTTCTTTTTACAGTTCCTGGCTGATAAATGGTGTCATTTTTGAAATTCAAAATGTCTGTGGTACTTCATGGATCCAGTAGGTTTTATTTTCATGTCAGTCTTTCCTTCGTTTCCTCTCTGCTCTGTGGAAACACTGCCTGCAGTTCAACCTGAAATCTCAGAATTTTAGTATTGATTGTTGGTCATACCTGGGTCAGTCATGGAGAATTAGTTGTGCTAAGGAGCTGAGAATTTTTTGTTTGTTTGTTTTTGCAGAATCTGTTGCAGTCTGTTGTATTTTGGGCGAACGTCTTAATGGGACACGCAGAACAAAGTGATTTTGGTGAAATATCATGATTTGTTCATTTCCTGGCAAAATTGCACTTAACGTGCGATTATTTCAGGGATTGTTGTAAAGTTTAAATCACTGATAAATGGCGTAGTTTCTGTGATTTAATAAAAGAAAATCGAAAAAAAGAAAACATACCTTTGGAACCCACTGGCAGGTTTTGGGGTTTGGAGGGTTCAAATTTTTAATCAATAATTTATTAATGGAAGTTAATCAATTAACAATTAGCCATTAGCATCCCTGTTCTTGAGGTTCTGGATGTGTTTTTTAACAGGTCATACTTTTCGAATCGAGCTTGGCTGCAGAGGTGGAAGCAGAACCCAGGTCGGACTCTGCCGGCTCGGCCCTTCCTCTGCTCCAGGTTGGTCTTGGAGGCCCAAACAGTGGCGTAGTTGGTCATGTTGTTGTGGGAGGTGAAGAGCTTCACTTTCTGCCTGTCGGGACACAAAACAATCTGATCTTTACCATCGTCTCACTCAGACACTGAAACTAACTGCAGGAAATTAGACTACGGGTCTGAGAGTCAGCAGTAGCAAATGTGATTCTTACTTGCAGGAGTCGATGACGTAGACGACGTCGTTGATGGTGATGCTTGTCTCTGCGATGTTGGTGGACAAAATTACCTGCAACACAACACCTGCATTAAACTTTCAGTACAGAAATAACACCATTAGTTTGAGAAACTGTTAGAATCAACAAAGATCTCAGTAATTTCCCACCACTGACCTTGGTGATGCTGTCAGGAACTGGTTCGAACACCCTCCTCTGCTCCTCTCGGGGGATCTGAGAGTGGAGCGGCAGGATCTTGTATCGGCTACTTCCTGAAAACAAAGTATTCAAATGGTCAAGTTTACGTGTCATTTGTATTTTCGCAGGTTCTGCCTTACACACACTTTCAGGTCTAACTGTTGGTTTTTTGGGTTGAAAGTATACAGATATACTTACATCTCAGTCAGTATCGATTCACATTTCATGGATGAAATAAACAGTTTCACCCCACAAACAGTCAACCATGAATCTCCAATGAAATAATCCAGCAATAAACAGTAGATAATTATGTAATTAACATATTTTTAGCAGTAGTTGTAGGCTAGTCAAGCATTTGTACTGGATCATCTGCACATTTAAAGATTTGAGGAGGTGGAATTGCTCATAAATCTTTTAATGTGTCTGTAGGCTATTTTCAGGGTAATATCACTACTTATTTAAGCTCTAACCTTGGTCGTTATAAGGGCTAACTATACATGCCTCTTTTTTTTCTTCAGAACAGTCTTGGTTATCCAGATTTTTCTTCATTTGATATGATAGTAGTGGCATGTTCTTTGTCTTAACCTTTATATCAAGGAAAATCTATTTCGTAGTAAGAAATTGTTATGTTTTTTATATGTACCTTATAAAACACTGACAGTAGAGACATCTTTACAGAGGTGTGTTAGGGAGAGTGTGTGGAATCTGGAAATATCTGAATCATGATGGTGGGAAACTGTATGACTTAGGAATTGTGGCAAAATATGTGCTCAGAAACAGCTGTAATAATTTTAGCCAGAGTGATTGAACTGAGAAGAAGACAGAGGGATTTGGACACAAGTTGTCATCTGAGCCACCACTGAATTTAACTCTTTCTATAAAAATCAAACCTTTTGAAATATTTATATCTATACATACTGTATATCTCAATTTACAGAGCACTTTTCCAAATATGGGCACTGATGGTGAAAACTGGAAGGGCGTGATTGGGAGGAACGGCCTGCCTGATCCGAACCGGAGCAGTGTTTTGTTTTTGGACTTCTGTGCTAGCCATCACAAACACCATGTTCAAACATAAGGTTGCTCATAAGGGTACCTGGTACCAGAGTACCTTAGGCCAACAGTCGATGATCGACTGCGTAGTCGTATCATGAGATCTGTGGCTGTATGTTTTGGACACTCAGATGAAGAGAGGAGCAGAGCTGTCAACTGATCACCACCTAGTGGTGAGTTGGATCCAATGGTGGGGAAGGCTGCCGGACAGACCTGGTAAACCCAAACGTGTCGTGAGGGTGAACTGGGAACATCTGGCAGAGGCCCCTGTCTGTGGGGTTTTCAATTCCCACTTCTGGAAGAGTTTCTCCTGAGTTTCATCCCGGGGGAGATTGGGGACATGGAGTCAGAGTGGGCCATGTTCAAAGCCTCCATTGCAGAAGCGGCCGTTAGGAGCTGTGGCCAGAAGGTCACTGGTGCCTGTCGTGGCGGCAACCCCAAAACCCACTGGTGGACACCGGTGGTGAGGGAAGCTGTCAGGCTGAAGAAGGAGACCTTTCGGGCCTGGCTGGCTCGGGGGTCTCCTGAAGCAGCAGGCAGGTACTGGCTGGCCAAAAGGGCTGCAACTGCGGTGGTTGCTGAAGCTAAAACTCGGGTGTGGGAGGAGTTTGGGGAGACTATGGAGAAGGACTTTCGGGGCAGACCCAGAACCCGCTGGAGAGATCTCTCGTCTGACCTGGGAATGCCTCGGGATCCCCCAGCAAGAGCTGGAAAGCGTCGCCGGGGGAAGAGAAGTCTAGAATGACCTGCTCCGCCTACTGCCCCCGTGACCCGACCCGGATAAGCGGAAGAAAATGGATGGATGGATGGATGGATGGATGGATGGATGGATGGACTTTTCCAAACAAAAGTGGGAGATTGCATGTGTAAACAAGTGTATTTGGTCTTATTCCATTAAGCTTCAACACAACAGTCCACACAGTGATCTGTAATGAGAAGGTCAGCCTAAATATCTGCTATGGTTGTCACTATTTGTATTATTGTGCGTAAAGTGACGCAGTATAACAGTAGCCACATTGGAAACACAAATAACAAAAGGCTGAAGGAACCTAAAGGTGGCAGACATTAGTTAAAAGTGTGGTTTTGTTGTCGTGTGATGTACCAAAGTGTGGGTTGGTCTCAAGGTGTCGCTGCATGGAGTAGATGAGGTTCCAGCCGGGCAGGAAGATGAGAACAGCACCGGCCACCTGCAGCGTCTCAATGTACTTCAGCAGAGCTTCGACCAGCTCAAAGGACGTCTCCTTCTCGTTGATCTGAGCCATCGAGCGCTTCGTCTCCGCCGTGTACTCCGGTCCGCAGATCACGTTACAGTTAGTCTGCAGACAGAAGATGCTTTAAACTCAGATCATCTGTTTTTTAGAGAAAAATGTCAACTCCCCATTAATTCATTTTTCAGCCACACTGAGCTGCAGAAACGTTCAGATCCTGATTAACTGCTTCTTACATCATCGTCTCCACCCTCCTCATCTTTGTCCTTTTTCTTTTTGTCCATCGGTGGAGGGACGAAGTTGGTCATCTGGATGCAGTCCTCCAGGAAATATTCTGCAAAGACAAGATTACAACTCTTTATTCCTGCCGTCGACTCAGTTTTAGTGCTAACTGCAGATTGAGGTTAAAGGTCCCATTTTGTTCCTCTTTCCACAGTGTTTCTCACAGTTTGGTTGATTTCACCATGACGGTATAACTCCTGGTTTTAACATTGTTCTGAACAGGCTGTTTCAGTGTCTGTAGCTTCAAAAGCAGCTGGGTTGCTGCTGTTCCCACCCCCTTCAGGAAGAAGACTCTCTATGAACCTGTGATCTACAGTTCAGAGCAACAGCTGGCCATAGCAGGTGACAGATGTGATTTAGTGTATGAGATCAGGATTTTCTATTGATCCTAACTTTCTCTCTGAGTGATCACTTGACATTAAAATATCTCTAAATTCTCAGCATGGTCGTTTTATTCATGTGTTTGGTGAGTTTATCAGACGACACTGAGGCTATAAAATCAGCAGCTTGGAAATGACTCTGCAGTGACTGCTGGTTACCATGTAGAATAACTGGACTCACTATGACATTAACAAACCTCTAAACTGTTCTCTCAGAAAAAAAAAAATCACCAAAATGACACCATTTATAAGCCACAAACAGTAAAAACAGAAGGAATCTTTGCATTTTCAACTTTCTGACTATTAAATCTAAGCTTAAAATTGTGACATTTAATCAAAATCACTTTACTCTGCACGCCTCATTAAGAATTAGCCAGAAATAAACCATTAGCTAACCAAATTCTGTAAAAAAACAAACAAACAAACAAACGAAAAAACCAGTGTTCTTGGTCTAGCCAAAAAGTCAAGTAAAAAAAAAAAGTTTTTAGTTGAACTGCAGGCAGTGCTTCCACAGAGATGAAAAAAAGAGACTGAGAGGAAAATAAACAATTGTGGATGATTTAAATAAATGTAGCATGGTCAAGAAACAGAATACAGAGGAGCAATTTATTAGAAGACACATTCAGGGTGGCCGGATAGCTCAACAGGTTGGGCAGACGACCCATGTACAGGGGCGATAGTCCCCGACGCAGCAGCTGTGGTTTGATTCCAGCCAGCAGCTAATTTGCTGCATGTCCTTTCCCCACTCTTCTCCCCATGTTTCTCTGTCACTCATTCTCTGTCCTATACATTAAAGGCAAAAAAGCCCCAAAAAATATCTTAAAAAAAAAAATTTAAAAAAGAAGAAAAGAAGACACATTCAGCATGGTGAAACATCTCTCTACAGTTGATGTGCAGAGCTGAACAAAAAACATAGTTTGAAGGAGCTGTAAAAATTTAAATAGATGAATCTCTATAGCATGTGAAGCCTCCATTTTTTCCAGTGTTGGTAACATCTGTGGACACTTATTGCCACAAACTTTAGATATATTGTTTCTGGCATCACACCTGTGTCATCCTGCACAGAATAGATTTCTGAGTTCTCACTACTTCTTCATAGTTGTTCTGTTTCCACAGAGGTGCAGGACTTCATAGTGCAGCGAAAAGTGAACTGACCGTGAGGACAAATATGATAGCAGAAAAACCCCCAAAACACTTAACCCAGCATGCTCTACATGCTACGGCGCCTCAAAATGAGCCACAAAAGATTTGGCAACTAGAAAATATCAGATTATTGTAAAGGTTTGAATGTTTTGTTTGACATCAGGCAGGTGAGTCAGAGTTTACCTTGAACAGCGAAGGTGCGTCCAAACACCTCAATGATGGGACAGTTGAAGAAGTATTCTCTGAACATGGTGGTGTCGATGGTGGCCGACATGAGGATGACGCGGACCTCCGGGTAGGTGTTGACCACGTCTCTGAGCACCACCATGAGGAAGTCCGTCTGCACAGACACACGGAAGGTCACAACGGGAAAAATGACTCGTCCTGTGAGCTTTTAAATCAGCAAATTCATGAACTCACGTTGATGTCTCTCTCGTGGATCTCGTCAACGATAACATGACTGATGCCTCTAATTCCTGCTTCGAGCTTCCGCAGCAAAACACCTGAAAACACACAATAGACTCCTAAATACATACAGCCAAAATATCAAATCTACTTTTAAATCAACATGATTAAAAAATATATTTGATAGATGATTGTTGTCAAACATTCTCAGGCACCAGCTTCTTCCATCTTTTTTTTCAGATCTTTTTTTATTTTTGGGGGCATTTTTATGCCTTTATTCCAGAAGTTATTGGAGAGAGCCAGGAAAGGTCAGGACAAGAGTGGGGAATGACGTGCAGCAAATCAGCCATGGGCCGGACTCGATTCTTGACCGCTACGTCGGTCGAGCTACTGGGGCACCTCCGGTTTTACATTTTAACAAACACAATCTTTGTTGTATACATTACAATATTCTGCTCCTTTATTACAATGCAATATCTTTTTTAGCATCAACTTTGTGTTCTTTTTTTTATGCTGCTGATTCCAAGAACTGCTAAACTACCTTTTGTTTTTGTTTTTTTTTTTAGAACAAAAACAGTAAAGATCTGTTCTATCTTTTGGGTTTTACCAACTGATCAGACAAATAAAATACATGATTATGTTCAACTTTAGGGAACAGTGAGTCATGGTCATCATTTTCTACAATAAACAATCAATCAATTATTAAGCAAAATAATTGTTAAATGTGTTAAATACCACTTTTCATCTTGTTTCTGCGTGTTGATGATTTAACAGACAGAGCAAGTGACTGTAGTTTAGTTCATACTCAGGGGTTTTCCTTAAAATTTCTCTGTTAAAGCATTAATTGTGTAAAAGTAGGATGTTTGAAAGCCAGATTCTTGTTTAAATCTGTTTTTTTAAGACCATGACCCTTTTTAATTGTTTGTCATATATCTGTGTAGATTCTCAGACATCCAGATCATGGTAATCTTGGAAGGTTCAGTAAAAAGCAACTGTTCTTCTGATTTAGGTTCTTGAGGATGTTTCTTCAGGTCTAAACTAAAACTAAGACTGCCACCATTGACAAGAAATTCAACAACAGTGAAAGAAGACTAAATATGACACTAAGCAGGTTTCTATTATTCCAGATATTAACTTTGTGTTCTCTTATCCATTGTGTTTGTGTCTGGTGACCCTCAGGCCTCACACGGCACATGAAGCCACAAATAATTCTGTGGAGGCCTTCAAGTGTTTCGTTAGTGTATAAACAAATCTGACACCAAGACAAAACCTAAGGAGCCTGACCTCCACCCTTTCTGACCTTCACTGGAGGAAGTATGCAAGACAAACATATTGATAAGACAGCGATTTTCTACCTTTGCTCTTGTCTTGTAGAGGCCTCGAATGCATTCGATCAACTGGTAACAAAACTCCCAAAGACAGCTGCTTCTTGGCAGTTTACTTTGTTAGAGAAATTGTTGATACATAGCCCTAACTTTTTGGAAGGACAGTTTTTGGGTTTTGGTAATTCATTACTCATAAATAGGTCCTGACAGAGTCACTTGAGGATTTAGAAAGGTTTTGACGAAATGTGTTCTTGCTCTGTTTCTCGTTTTGAAGGGTGGCTATCAGATATTTATGCAATCAATAGTTCAGTTCATTTCCGTGTTGGAGTCGCAGCTCATCAACATTAATCAGCTGGAATAGCTTTTCACGCAACAAAACAGTTTCAAGTCAACTGTAAATTTGTTAAACTTAAACAGATTTCAGGGTTGGATTTGATCTGTTTTTACAACAAATTTGAAGTTTTTCTGGCAAACTGATCAACTAGGAAGCAAAGACTTTAATTATTTCGACACTAAAACAGCAGTACAGGTGACACTTGGGTACTGATTAACTGTTAGTCAATTACTTCCCGTTAATAAATTAACCGATTAATAATATACTGAAAACTGTAATGCACATTAGTTGTAGCACCTCGTTGCGCCACTAAGTGGAACCTCTTACTATTCAAGTGAGGTGAAAAAATTGTAGTTTGTTTGGCAGGTGCGCTCAGGGGCTAGGGACAGAATGGTAATGTTCAAATGTAATTTTTCAAATGAATAGTTTTTGAACAATGTTTGAATAGTTTTGAGATTGTTATTTCAGTTATGTTGTGTCTGAATTTTGATTGTTGTGGATGTATGATGTTTTCAGTTATGGGGGTTTCGCAAACAACGGGGCAGCATAACAGAGACTTCTGTAACGGTTAATAGCGTCCAGTCAGCACTTTCGTCCAGAGAATTAGCTCAGATTAACCTGGACATCATTGCTGTGGTGCCAACTATTAGCAGCTATTCAAATGAAATATTTAATATTGAACAATAATAATTAAGTGCCTGGTATTTACATCATCAGATCATAAAATGTCTAATGTCAGTGATACGGTTTTATGGTGAACATTGTCAGTGGTCAAAATTACTATTTGAATATGGAAAGATATCCACTTTATTTTATTAATTTCAACAATTAATTAGCTATCGACTGTTAGCAAGGCCGACTATCAGTTAAGGAAATTGTTTAAAATTCGCATCTTTGGTTGATACATGAAAAGATTTGAAGTTTTATTAAACATTAGTGGAAGTGAAGACCCTTGGGTTACTGAACAGCACAACCAAGCTCTTACCTTATCGTTTATATGTTAAAACATCTATTTACTCATTTTATGTTTAAACTTTTTTGTTTGTTGGATAAATATATTGTTAGCAGAGTGATATAAAGTTGCACAAGGTTCTAAAAAAAAGGGATTAGAGGGAAAAGCTAAGGAGACAGGTTTACATCCCTTGAAGCCTTTTTGTCTTTACAAGGTTGGATCCAGCTTTTCTTATCTGGTATGAAAAGCAGATCACAGTTAACACAGTCCAATGACTTTCTGTTTGCGATAAAAGCTGTAACATTTGGGATTATATAGCACAAATGTAAAAGAAGACTCTCCTTTTTTGAGAGTCTGGACAAACTCTTTTGTTCCGCATGTTGCACAGAATATTAAATCTACCAAAGACCCGGCAAAGTGTTTTGAGGCATCTGTTGACATACCAACAGTGCAGAAGAGGACACTGGCGTGGGGTCGCGGGAGGACGGACTCAAAACGAACGCTGTAGCCACAACTTTTCCCGAGATCCTCCCCTCGCTCGTAGGCAACTCGCTCTGCCACAGACACGGCGCTGATGCGTCTTGGCTGCAGAGGATGACAGCAGGTTTACTGACACAACACAAAACTACATCAATGATACATTATCTGAAATTTCAGAGTATGCTGATGATTTAAGTTGCCAATGGGCCCAAAACTGGTAAATTCTAAAAAGAAGCCTCTAAAATCATCTTTAGGCACAAATTCTAATACGTGAACATGGTTACACTCTTTGGAGTAATTATATTTGATCAACATACATGTTTTTCTTATTTTTCTGCTAAAATCAAACACCTGTTGTTGGCACTGGTATGCTACGCATTACCTGGGTGACTACTATGTTGCAGTCCGATGCTCGGCCGCTCTGGATGAAGCGGTCCAGGATGTACTGAGGAACCTGGGTGGTTTTACCGCAGCCAGTCGCTCCTCTGATGATCACCACAGGGCTTTTCTCAATGGCTGCCATGATCTCCTCCTCGAACTGTTTGACGGGCAGCTGCTCGCGCTCCATCAAGATCTGAACAACACCATTTCTGTTTTTTTACACTCTCGTGTCTCAGAATGTTTTCAACCTGACTTTGATTAAAGCAAAAAAAGACAAGTTTGTCATAGCTAAAGCATCCTGACCTTCTGCAGGTTGTCGTCATTTATCAGCTGGTACTTGAGCTCGTTGTGCAGATCTTCACTGATCTGCTCCGGAGTGCACTGAATGGGTTAAGCACAATATTAAAGGCAAAACTTCATGACTTTTGTCCATATTAAGACTTCATAAATCTGTTCAGTTTAGATGTCAGGTAAATGTTGTACGAAGAACACGCAACAAAGTACAGATAGTTTATATTGTGTCATGTTCAAATTTGTCACAGCCAAAAATGACTGGTTTAGACATTTTGTTTTATTGAACTGGATTCTGATAATCCAGGTTTTTTACACTTTTGTGTCTTAGAATTCAGATTTTTGATAGTTTGGTGTTTTAATATCAAGTTTTATATTTTGATGTACAAATATTTAGCTTTTTTTTTTTTAACATTCTTAATATAGAAGGTTTTGATGGTTTGGTGTGTTACTATTTAAATTTCATACACTTTCTTGTCTGTCGTGCCCCCTGAAACACTCCATTGCGGAAGAAAACAGTTGGAGAGAATAACTCTGTTTGACGTGACTTTGGGCTTTTTAGGTTTGCAGACCTTTAACATGCACAAAAAAGCTACTATACAAGATATATATGAACAAAGACTCACGTAGGCCAGCGGTCCCTCGTCGATGTTGCTGCTGGTCCAGGGGTTCCAGTTGACCTGAGGAGGTGACCAGGGGACGACACCGGCTCCAATCTGACGCTGTGACGGGTCAAATGTCGCCATCTTTCCCTGAACCAGAGACACCGGGCTGCTGGGGTCTGCAGGCTACACGAGATGAACCCTCAGGTTACACACTGAACTGAACCAAAGTGTTAATTTATACTGATTTTAATTTAAGTTAGTGTTTGTGTTATATACTTCAACTCTGCACATCCAGTGCCGTTTATCAATACTGACAGGTCAGGTCTAGTGTTTTGTAATGACTGCTTCTGTGAGCCTTAAAGAGATTATTACTGCCCTCTATGTGCAGAGAACAACAGAAACACTGCCCTGCATCACATCATATCACAATCTTTTGTTCCCCGAGGAGTTCTGTGGCATTCTCATCTGCTGCTTGAGGAAGTTACTGAAAATAATTCCTGTCAAGTCTGGTGCTATAGATGTCTGTGCAAGTCAAGTCTAAAATTGTTAAAAATCTAAGTGAATTCTGGTACTATAGATGTCTCTGCAGCCACACAAGGACCAAACAAAATCAAGTCCATAATTGTAAACATTTTCAAAGAAGTCTGGTACTACAGGTGTCACTGCAGCTACAGAGGATCAAATAAAGTCAAGTCTAAAATTGTGAAAATTCTGAGCAAAGTCTGATACTATAGACATTTCTGCAGCCACACAAGCACAAAAGAAATTCGTCTCTAAAATCAGGAAAACTTTGAATGGAGTCTGCTACAACAGATGTCCCTGCACATGGACTGAATAAAGTAAAGTACAAAATTGTTAAAATTCTTCATTAAAATGAAGTCTGGTATAAATGTCTGTCCAGTCACACAAGGACCAAATAAAGTCACGTATTTTAAGAACATTTTGAATAAAATCAGTTACTGCAAATGTCTGTGCAGAGGGTATGAATTATTGGGTGTTCCAAAACAGGCCTTGATAGAAAATAGAATGAGAATTTCCCTGAAAAGTCTGGCTCTGTTTGATCAAAGAACGTCAGGTTAGTACCTGACAGATTAAATGGACAAACTAATCAGCGGCAGGTTTAGGAGGGTTTCAAAGCAACTCACAGGTGGGGGGATGTGGACACCGAGCTCCTGGACAACATTGGCCAACTGCTGCCCAAGGTCCGGTGACACATTGACGTCAAATGCCTCCAACTGGAAACAAAACACACAACAACAGAGTCAAACCCAACCAGGAAGCTTCAGTGTTGCACATTATTCAGAAAAAAAAAACATAACTTTTTTTCTTAACACTCCCAATCCCAAGGGTATTTTTTGCTCCTGTTGCACTATGTTGAATGCATCATCCAACAACTTTCCTGTATACTATTTTTTGAGCCATGCTGCACTTATATTATTGATCCAGTATGCTTTAGTTTTCTCTTTGCTCTGGGGAAACACTGCCTGCAATTAACCTGAAAGCTAAATTAGAAAACAAAATTTTTGACTGTTAGTCACAACTGAATCACTAATGACTTCTCAGTTGTGCTGAGGCTGCATGGTGACTCAGTTGTTAGTACTGTCGCCTCACAGCTACATCCCTGGTTCGCGTCATGGTTAGGATGCCTGGGATGTTTCTGTGTGGAGTTTGCATGGTCTCCCTGTGCAGCGTGGGTTCTCTGGCTTCTCCCACAGTCTAAAACCATTCTGAGGTTAATTGGTGATTCTAAATTGTCTGTAGGTGTGAATGTGAGTGTGCTTGGTTGTCTGTCTCTAAGTGTAGCCCTGTGATAGACTGGCAACCTGTCCAGGGTGTCCCCTGCCTTCTCCCTGAGTCAGCTGGGATAGGCTCCAGCGCCCGATGACCTAGTGAGGATCAAGCAGTGTAAGGTAGAATAAGGTTGAATAAGGTGATTTTGAAGAAATATGAAATTCTATGCTTATTTTTTTGGTTAATAGTCTAGAAAGTACCACGTCACAGAGGATTACAACCACTAGAAAGCTAAAAATCTGACGTTTCTTTCTTTTTATAGCTTTTGATTTTGATAAATGGTGTAATTTTGGTGACATTTTCTCAGAACAACATGCCTTTCAAACCCACCGACTGGTTGTTGAACTCAGAGGGTTAATGTGAAAGAAAAAAGGCACCTAAGATACATATACATTTTATGCATTTACACATTACAAAAAGTGGGTTTAGAATGAACTACTATTTCACTGCTGTCTTGTAAAAAAATCTGGAAAAATCTTTTTCTTGAATTCCTTAAAAGCTAAAACTGTTTATGAATATCAGGTGGCTTCCATTAACATTTTACATAATATTTAAGGTAGTTTTTCTGTGTTAATGATTTGTATTTTCTATTTTATTGTTTGCATTTTGCAATTGTATGTGTGTTTCTCTGCTGCACTCATCCAGTGTCAACATTTTCAAATGAGCCAACGTTGTTATGTTGCCATGTGAAAGAGTTAATGGGAACAGTAGTGGTTTTTCTCTGTTATTTTTTTAGCGTACAGTTTCTCCCTCCTTCTTCTTGGTGACGCCGGAGTACGCCTCGATGACTCCCAGATGATACAGCTGCCGGATCAGCGACAGAGCACAGGACTGAGCCGCCAGCTTCTTGTTGGATCCATGCTCTCGAGCTGTGATCCCTGCAGAATACAACAGAACCAACAGCAGTGAGTCAGAACCAAAGCACCTGATTTTACATCTCCAGTGTGTGTGTGTGTGTGTGTGTGTGTGTGTGTGTGTGTGTGTTGTTTATCTGCTCTTTCTTTCATTTGTTTTCTCATAAAGAGGTTTGTTATTGAATCTTTTTCTCATCAGAGTCAAAAGGCTGCAGGTGACTGCAGGTGAGGTTGGACGTGACAAATAAAACTTACTTAAATGGTAAAGACTAGGGGTGTAACAACACACGTATTCGTACCGAACTGTTCGGTACAGGCCCTTTTACAGACGTATACTGTGGTACAAAAATTTTAAGACGATTAAGAATGGCCAATGTACAGAATTGTTTCAATTGAAAAACTTTAAATCTCATGGTGCCCACAGTTGCGGTGGACCTTCTCTGGCTCACATTTGAGCAGAGCAAAAAAAAAGTAGGAGTTTCCTGTGGATCCCAGGATGTGACGGACCATTTATTCTCTTGTTGGCGCTTCCTTAAAAGCCTGGTCTGTATGACTAGCGAATGGTATGGCAAATGCTAACAACAACAACAACAACAAGCCAGACCTGGAAGACACTCCGGTGTCATCAAAATCACCCCTCTGGGATCACTTCGGTTTCCTGCTAAAGTCCGAAAAAGGAGAAAAACAAGTCGACTAGATGAAAATTGTATGTCCGTATTGTGAGGCGGTCTTCAACTATGCATCCGGCAACACGTCAAACTTACACACTCATTTGAAAAGTCAGCATTCAAGCATAACTACTGAGAGAAAAAATAATGAACTACGCAAATGTTGCACAGTTCGTGACTGTGCTGGAGCTCTGACTCCATTCAGTCCTCACTGCTGTCTTCTCAGCAGTACATGAGGAAGCTACAGCCAGGCAGCATCACAGGAGTGGACTGAGCGGAGCTACTGACAGATAAGTTCAGAACCATGTTGTGACATTAACAATGACTCAGCATGTCTCCTGTTTCACTTTAACTCTCTTTGCCATGTGTCAGTACGACTGACACGTGCTTCCGTGCGTCGGTCATGCTTTCATTTATGTTGCATTGCTAAAGTTGTGCTAACCTTGCTTAAGCTACTCCCTGTCTGTTTGTGTTAGCAATAACATCACTGTAGTTATGCCAACCTAGCTTAGCATTAGCTAATAGCTGAAAGTCAGTGGGTAACTGTAGAAATAACGTAAGTGTACCAAATATTTGAGAGTATAGAACGAGGGTTCATCACGCCGTCAGCTTGTTATTGATGATATCAATGTTATTTCAAATGCTAAAGCTATGTTCTGATTATCCATGAATCGAATAGTGTAGATAAAATGAATGCAGAACTTGGTGGAAATCACAATATGGTGGAAATGAGCTTCTTAGCGGAGGTTTGCGCCCTCAGAATGCTCTTCTAGTTAGCCATGTTTTACAAACTCGCCCCATTTATGAACAGTACACAAGCTCAAATTTGGCTGCATAATACTCCTTGCACTTATTTGAAAAAGATTAATTTTTATATTTATCGCTGAGCTTGGTTGTTTGCAGCAGTGTCTTCCTTTTTTATACTGTAAAAGTAATTTAGTTCTGTTTACTATTTATTTTGTTTTGTTTATTTGATATTGAACTATACAGCAGTTTTTCTGTTACATTTGTATACATTGTACATTTCATTTGATTTACTGAGTTGTTAACAGCTTTTTGGTTTAATACTATAAACAAATGTTTTGGATTAATTATGAGCAGGTTTATCTTTTTTTAATTTTTCCCCTTAACTGAGAACCGAACCGTACCGAACCAAACTGTGACTTCTGTACCGAGGTGCGTACCGAACCGTGATTTTTGCGTACCGTTACACCCCAAGTAAAGACTGATTTTAATGTTTGGGACTAAACTGGGTTAACAATTACCTACTTTCTAGTTGAGCTGATTTCAAGCATTCTAGCTGCATCTCTTCAGTAGTTTCTGTTAATAACTCTTATCCAGAGCTAAAACTTTTATTCATCTAAACTTTAATTTATCTTCTACATAAAAAATTCTTAACTTTTCCTCCAGCTCAGTGCTGAAGTTGTGAAAGTTGTTGTTTAAAGCATGAGCAATAAACTGATTGGTTAATTAATTTCATTATGGGAAAATGGGAAATATTACAACATTTATAGAGTCTTACTTCTGCCGAGCTGTTTCACAAACAGCTGCATCTCCGCTATGAAGCTCCTGTAGACACAAACACAAACATCACAGCTTCACTTTCTGCATTTGCCAAAATAAAAGCCACGGACAAAACCTCAAAGTGAATTGCTGAACTCACCGGCCGTGTTCTCAGGAGGAGGCCTGTATGTTTTTCTGCCAGACTTTGGGATTATTAAACACCAATCATCTGCTTTGATTCCGGTATCTTCCGGCTGCTCTCTGCCCTGTGGTGAACAGCGACACCAGAAATCACAACCAGACTCCACTGAGCCCCGAGCTGCACCCATGGGACAGCTTTAGTGCACCTAAACGCTGTCCCATGTCTTCCTTCAGTGTGGTTGTGAGCTCTGGCGTCACCTCGTTTTTTTTTCCCTGATGGAGCAGGAAACTCACTCAGCCCTTCAGAATAATTAATTTACGGCCAAGAATTTGTGCCAAATTGTGCACAGAACTTATCAGTTTTCCTTGAAACACCCTTGGCTTTAAAGTAAACATTTTCTAAGTTGGTGCAAATAAATGAAATTGGAAATAGCTCCAAAATCAAGAGAAACCTGCAGAAGTTTGCTGTTTACACTCTATCAACACTGTTTAAATGCAATTCCAAATGAGATATACATTGAAAATTGAACACATTTAATTGTCTAACCAGGATTTAGATTATGTCTGCTCCAGTGTAAACAGAGTATCAACAGCACAGTTCAGCTTTGTTGAAAGGAGAATAATCAAACAGTGAGATCTCTCTGGTGTAGCCGACACACTCCGGAGGTCTCTGGGTTTACAGCAGTCCAGCAGAAAAACATACGGAAACGTCCTGAAAACCAAACTTCTCACTTCATCTCTGTAGTGCAACACACACCAGCTGCGTCTCAATTAGAATCTTACAGCAAGAAAAAGTAAAGATGAAGAAGAGAAACAGGACGCTGGAGTATCCTGATGTGTCGAGACCCAGCTGGTGTGTGTTGCCTTTAAAAGAAAAAAGTTTAAGTGCATAAATAACAATTCCCATAAATAGGATAAAGAAGCAGCAGAAAACAAAGCAAAAAATACAAAAAAAATAGATGAGGAGGTAACAGAAAATGAAGCTGCATCTCCAGAGTTTGTAAGCTGGTAGTGAGCAAGTAACTACTCAGGGATCAATAAAATATTTCTGATTCTGATCTCAAAGGTTCAAAATATATTTATGCGAAACCACTTGTTATCGCTACAAAATGTTCCAACAAACCCCTGTATGGAAAAAAGCACCTTAATTAACAGCAAATTACTTAAATAAGTGTCTGAATCTGCACTTACAGCTAAATAATTCAAAGGATCTGTGGCCAGAAGGTCAGCAGGAAACTCCACATCAAATCCAGACTGAAGTGAAAACAAATGTTATTTGCAGCTACTAAGGAGCTGGAATGTAAAGTTATTGTTGTCCAAAATAACTCCTTTAAACCAGAAATCATGAATCCTTTGGGCCATTCTTCATGTATGGAAAATGTGAGGCTGCTTTGTTTATTTACTAAATTATTTTTACATTTTTAACTTATAAGACTAACAGAATAATTGAGTATTATTTTCTGTTCATCAACCGTGAAATTTTACCTTAAAATTTGCACAGTGCAGGTCAGTTTTTAGTGTAAGTCCATAATAATTTCTCTGCAAACTGTAACACATCAGACTGGATTTGGATAGAAATGTGCTGCTGGTATAAAAACCTATAATGTTCCTGATCCAGACCTGTTGTGGTCCGGTCCAACTTGGCTGTATTTATACTCAGCACTGGTCTTCTCCTTCTGGAAGAACTGGTTCAGACGGGCCTTAGCGTTCTCTAGAGTCCAGTTGCCATGAAGATTAGCGTTCAGGTCCACTTCCTCCGACTCCAGAGTCTGCAAACAAAACCCAAACCAACGGATGTAAACAGACATCATCTCTGCATGTTCATGTGAACAGAAAATGTGTTCATTTCAAGTTTTTTTCCCCCTGTCTTTTTTGTCTTTTCTAAATGCTCCACATAGCAGTGATGGGCACAAGTAGTTGTCACTGTGACAAAGGAACTCTGGCCTGGTTGAGCCCAGTTTGTCTTCACCATATGAGGTCATTAAGTTTCACGTAAGTTCTTGTCATGGTGCCCATTGCTAGTTAAACCCCAACAATGCTCACTGCTCACCAACATGAATTGCCTATTTCTCCTTTTCTTTAGGGTCGATATCAGTGGTGATAATTGGTGATCAAGAAAGTTTGTTAACCGGTATTTGGAAACAATATACATTACATGTAATATTTTAACAGCATGTGATAACAGAGAACCTGTCAATCATAGCCAGGCTTCTTCATTGATAAGTGTGAATATAACTGTATAACTGAATATGTAAAATAGAAATATCAGTGGTTAAATTAGGACGCTCTCCTCTGTTTATGTGGGATCAGCTGAGATTAATCAGTTTGGCTCCTGCAGTTGAATCTGTTGTTCTTCCTTATTGTCTTAATCTTTCACTGTTTTGTCACTTTTATTGCCCACTAAGATCCATATCTTAAAGTATTATTATTGTTTTCCAGACTCCGTTTCAGGGTAATTTGTGGATGCCTTCTAACTAGCCGCGAGCCACTGTGAGAGGAGCGAATTTCCTGGTTTGTGGCAACGGCTTGTGTTTCTGGTTAAACTTTTTCAGTCTCTGCTTGAGAGACATTTCTGAGACTACAGAGTGACGACAAACAGAGAGAGGAGGCTGCATCAGACCTGAAGTAGTGCATTCAACCCTTTCAACAGCGCATGTGAACAAGCAACTCAGTCATGAAATAAATTGTGTAAATGAAGTAAAATGACATTGTTTGACCCCCCCCCCCAAAAATCACCAGAAAACGTGATTTTCGCTACCTTGTTTCCGAAATGTTTACAAGCAATCCAAACTAACTAATTACAAGACTTTGGCTGATGTCTCAGTATATAAGAACTTGTAAATAATTGCATATATCCCTGGTAATTATGAAGTTTACCTTTACTTTTTCTTTACCACACCTGTATTTCACCTGTATGTATATGACAAGAACAAACTTCCATATATATTTAACCGTCAATTTGTCTACTTTTGATTGATACCAGATGATGTGAAGTCTACTTAAGAATTTATGAGTGATTAATCAAAACTATATCTGATCATGAATTTCAAGCAAAGTTACTTAGTGTTGAAGGGGTATTTCAAGCCAAAGATACTTAGTGTTGAAGTGCATAAGGAATACACATTTACTTAGTGTTGAAAGGGTTGATTTATCAATAACAACACCAATATTGATAAACGGAAAAATTTTAAACATCTGCCACGATAACTGGCCAGGCCAATAATCAGCCTGTCCCTTGCAGATACTAAATATTAATTGACTCGGATCAGATTGGGGGTGAAAAAAACTTCATAAGAACCTCCCTATTCACAAATTATCAGATTTGTACCGCTTGTGCCTCCTGTTCATCTCTCTTGGCGTAGTACTCCTTCAGGTTGGCTCCTCTGTCCCACTGAGCTTCTCCTCCTTCTCTTCCAGCTGCTCCTCCTCGTCCTCCCCACCCAATGTTGCCTCCACCTGAGTAACCCAGTCCAGTCACTCCTGGAACCGGCCCACTGCTGCTGCCACCGCCCTCTTCTAAAACCAACAAACACAAGCAAGTAAGAATGAAGACAACTGAATACCACAACCATCAACCTGCTTCTCTCACAAGACAGAGTTTGATCTGACAGAACTACACACAAAGCAGTGACACGAAGAGCTAATTAAAATATGACTTAAAGTTACCTTGCTCAGCTTTTACTACAAGATGAGGTGGCAAAGGACCGCACGAAGGAAGGTTTCCAAATTCGCCATTTCCTCTATCTCCTCCTCCTCCTCCTCCGTCGAGTTGATCGGGCTCTGGAACACTCGCCTGCGGATAGAAAACTTTGATTCAGTCTGTGAACAACTCAAGTCAATTAATATGATGCTCATTAACATCAGGATGGCAGCTGAAGCCGCCAGTTGTCTGCTACCTTGAGCCTTATTGAGGATATTTAACAATCTAAACTCTGCTCTTGTCACATTTTACTCACTGTGGGTTCATTTTTCACTACAATATAAAGTCCTGCACCTCGATGGAAACAGAACAACCATGAAGGAGGAGAGAGAGCTCAAAAATAGTTTCTGTGCAATATGACACAATAAGAATGCTATAAATTGTGAAAAGAAAAAAAGGGAAAATAGTTGAATTTCGTTGATACAATATTTTACGAAAAAATGAAGAAACTCAGAGTCAACATGTACAATATGTTTCCAAGTGTGCACAAGTGTCACCAAAACTGAAATAAAATAGGGACTCCACATGCTACAGATATTTTACTATCGTCATTTTTACAGCCTCTACAAAAATTTTCACCCTGCCCCGAACATCAGCCATAGACATATGTTTGACCACGCTGAATGTACCCTCCAACAACTTTTTCCTCTGTTCACTGTTTTTGATCCATGCTGCATCTGTTTTAATGATCCAGTATGTTATATGACTCAACCATGGCCTATCATTTGTACTGAGGAGCAATTTTTTAAAACTTTTTACAGGATCTGGTGCAAACAGTTTACTAGAGCTAAATTTTTGGAAGAGACAAGTAGAATAAAGGGATTTTGATGCAATATAATTTTATGCTGAAATTTTATTTATTTATTTTTTCTAATGGAACTGCACATCACACCAGCAGAAAGTTGAAAATCTGATGTCGTTTCTTAGTGTGTGTGTGTTTTTTTTGTTTATTTGTTTTTTTTACAGTTTCATGTGGCTAAATGGTGCAAGTTTTGAAATTCCATTAAGTGCATTCATTTCATTAATGCAAGTATGTTTCTTTTTTTGTTTGCTTTGTGACTGAATCTGGTTTATTTTTCACAAGTTTTTAAGCAAGACGGGTAAGGCTAGGATGTTCTCTCCGTGCAGTGTGGGTTCTCTCCGGGTTCTCCGGCTGCCTCCCACAAGTCCAAAAACATGCAGAGGTTATTGGTGATTCTAAATTGTCCGTAGGTGTGAATGTGAGTGTGCTTGGTTCTCTGTCTCCGAGTGTGGCCCTGTGATGGACTGGCAACCTGTCCAGGGTGTCCCCTGCCTTCACCCTAAGTCAGCTGGGATAGGCTCCAGCCCCCCCGCAACCCTCGTGAGGATTAAGCGGTGTATAGATAATGGATGGATGGGTAGTTCTAGGGTTGCTTTCAAGGCAAAAAATGTTGTCGAACTTCCACGAGAATCATCACAGTTTTCAGTGTTCTGCAGTATGTCAGTATTCCAGTGATAGTATTCTGTGTATTACAAACAGGAGTTCCTAATAGATAATTCAGCTGCTTTTAATAGGACAATTTCAATATATGGAAACAAACAGTTTTTTAAAACAAGCTCAAAAACAACATGGCTTTGATTTCTCTCTGTAGTCAGATTGGATCTCTTATACAGTATTTTGGTGTTAATAAAAGGTAGTGGCTGCAGAGATGTAAAATTGACAAGGTAAAATTGGAGGTAATTTCAGCTGAAATACTTACATTACTACCAGTTTTATAATTGATAGATTTATAATTGATAGATTAAATTAGTCTTATCATTTGCAGAAACATGAAATAAAAACAAGGAAAGTTTTGCTGACCCCGAGAGCTGGGACCTCCGATGCGTTCATTTCTCCCACTCGGACCAGATAATTGACAAAATCCCTGGCAGCGTTGGTCTGAGCGTCCTTCTTGTTGGTGGAGTTTCCCATCCCCATGTAGTTGAAGCCATCGACTCGGACCTGAACAGAGAAGAGTTTAGGGTCAGAACAAGCAAGCAGGAGTTAAACTGCTTGAATCAAACAACTTCAGACAGTAGACTCACCTCACACATAAACTTCTGCCTGTTTTTGTTGCCTGCGGCTCGGATGTCGTAGTTGGGAGTCAGTTTCTTTTTCCCACACCAGGCGTACAGGAAGTTCTTGATGTCCGCCATGGTATACTGACAGGAGGGGGAGAGTCCTCCTCTGTGGACCCTTTAATCCTGTCAAACACCTTTACAGTCAGTTAATTTGCTTGTTTTAGGCATCCCACCTAATTGTTAAATTAACTGTTGTATGTGTCGATAACCCTGCTGTCAGGCAGATATGTTGCACCTGCTGAGAAGCCTCAATTATCTGACCGATTTTGAGCATTTTCAAGATTTTTAAAAACTGATTCCTGATTTTTAAAAAAAAAATTTTGTCTAGTAGGAGAATTTCAAGAACTTTGAATGCATCCTCAAGTGTAGTCACAAAAGCCATCAAAAGCTGTGATGAAACTGCCTCTCATGAGGACTGCCCCAGGAAAAGAAAACTAAGAGTTACCTCTGCTGGAGAGGATAAGTTCATTAGTTACCAGCCTCAGAAACCGCAAATTAACAGCACCTCAGATTAGAGCCCACATAAATTCTTCACAGAGTTCAAGTAGCAGCCAAATTTCAACACCAGCTGTTCAGAGGAGATTGTGTGAATCAGGCCTTCATGGTCAAATGGCTGTAAAGAAGCCACTACTGAAGATGAACAACAACAAGAAGAGAATTGTTTGGGCCAAGAAACACAAGGAATGGACATGAGACCAGTAGAAATCTTTACTGTGGTCTGATGAGTTCAAAGTTGAGATTTTTGGTTCCAACTGCAGGGTCTTTGTGAGATGCAGAGAAGGTAAACGATGTTTTCTGCCTGTGTGGTTCCCACTGTGAAGCATAGAGGAGGAGGTGTGATGGTGTGGGGAGGCTTTGCTGGTGACACTGTTGGTGATTTATTCAAAATTCAGGACACCAGATAACCAGCATGCAGCGGCACACCATCCCATCTGGTTTGTGCTTACTGGGACCATCATTAGTTTTTCAACCAGACAAAGAGCCCACACACACCTCCAGACTGTGGAAGGGCTCCTTGACCAAGAAGGAAAGTGATGGAGTGCTGCATCAGATGACCAGGGGCCTCATGTACAAAGGGTGCGTACGCACAAAAACGTGGTCTACGCACTTATCCACACTCATGTTCAGGTGTATCAAGAGTGAAATGAACGTGGAAATGTAAAGTCTTCCACGCCAACTTCTTGACTGGCGTACGCACGTTTCTACTGCTTTTGAGCCGTTGGCGACACTTAGAGGTGATGCTGGGAAACTGTTAATAATGTAAAAAAAAAAAAAAAAGGCAATTCCTCAAAGTGATATGCACATCAGAGATACGCAGATGAACAATTAACACACCCAGGAGTTCGCAATCAGATGAGTGGATATAAAAGTATGCGTAAAACGGTGCAGAAGATACCGTTAACAACAATGGCAGCTTTGGCACTGTTGGAGGATATTGCCAATGGAGCAGTGCGAAGAGAATGGGTTTTCAGAGACCTCAGGACGACAACTGGCTCATCAGCCGCTTTACATTCCCGAGGGCAACTCGCTGAGAACTGTGCGCAAAGCTGCAGGCATTATTGGAGTGCAACACGCCCAGGAGCCATGCCCTACCTGTGCCCATACAGGTTCTGACCACACTGGGCTTCCCAGCCACAGAGTCATTTCAGAGGGAGCTGGCCGACCGATTGGGACTGTGCCAGTCGACACTGAGCCAAGCCATGCCAGCTGTGTGGAAATGATCATCTGCGATGCGCAAATACATTTAAGTACCATTGTTGCGAGGTGGACTGGTTCAACACAGGATTCATTCATTCTGACCAACAGTGTTGTTGGGAACAGGCTACAGCTGGTACGGTGCGGGATGGGTGGCTTCTTGGTAAGTAAATCATTTAATTGTCCTAATATTAATCCCCCCGACACGCGCTAAGCATGTGTGGGCATCAGCAGCTGGCTGTTGTGGCGGACCGGAAGATCGGCTGACGCAGGGGAGGCTGGATCTGTGATACGAGGCTGGGACTTTGTCTCACAGTCTTCTCCTGCCTCATTGTCTGTTGGAAAACAATAAATTGAGTAATTTGACCTGAAAGAAAGTCTTTGTTTTCCTCTTTGATATCCTGGCATGATTACGCATGAACCTTTATCTTGTTTGGCTGCGAGCAGATTATTGTATGACCCGTACAATGAATAAATTTGTGAGTTACACAACAAATATTTACCTTGGGGGTGATCCAAGTGATCCACATGTGCTCTCACCACCCATGTGACAGCAGTGTCACCCACAATAGCGGCGACTCTCTGCTCAAACGGGGTGAGTTCATCCTTGTTACTGTTATCTGATAATACAGAGAAGGGAATCCCACCTTTCGGCCCTGTTTATACTATTTTGCATATTTAAATTGGGGGCGTGGAGAGGGAGGAGTCTGGTCCTCTAACATGTGTCAATTCTACGCTGAGAGGGATGTACAAAGGAAATATGCTTGGATTCAGACGTATGCTCACTTTTGTTCATTTGGATATTTTTGTGCGTACGCAGTTTTCTGGATTGAAGCGTACGTTTCAGTATGAAGTCCACGCAAGTCTTTGTACATGAGGCCCCTGGTCTCTACAATTACCCGACCTAAACCCAACCGAGATGGTTTGGGATGAGTTGGACTGCAGAGTGAAGCAGCCAACAAGTGCTCAGCACCTCTGGGAAGTCCTTCAAGACCATTGGAAAACCATCCAGGGAGAACGAGAGAACGCCAAGAGTGTGCAAAGCTGTCATCACAGCAAAAGGGGGTTACTGTGAACAACTTAAAATATAAACCAATCTGATTTGTGTCACACTTTTTTGTTTACAACACAATTCCATATGTATTCTATCATAGTTTTGATGTCTTTAGTATTTATCTACAATGTAGAAAATAATAAAAATTAATAAATAAAAACCACTGAATGAGAAGGTGTGTCCAAACTATTGACTGTTACTGTATGTAACTTATTAAATTTTTCCAGAAGAAAACAGTTTGCAATTCTTTTATATATAAAAACCAAATAACATTTCTGCAAAGGGAAACTCACTATTTGCTGCCAAAACTCAGAGAAACAGCTCAAGAAAGCTAGGACGCCATCCCAACACTGCTGATCTACAGAACATCTACAACTTACACATCATGGCATATGAATTTTAACATTTGAGTACAATCTCCCATTGGACTCGGGATAGAAATAATGAACAAATAACTTAAAATAAACTGGCTATGACTCGGTGTTTTGTATTTTTTTATATCTAACAGCAGTCTGCAGCTACCGTTAGCTTACACACCAATTTGGTTTAGCTGTGGTAGCCTAGCATCACAGTTAGCAGCTAACGCTAACTTCCGACTTGTATACATACTTTAATCATTATTTTAAGTTAACACATACCACGTAATTAACTAACCTGTATTGCTTCCAATACGTTGCAATAAATAGAATACTTGAACTCAGCTAAATATGTAAAATTAGCATTCGCTGAATGAACGAACGAAGCTAAGCTAATGTTAGCTAGCTGCTGCACAATACCAACACTGATGAGATGCATAAGTCGCACACAGAACGATGCAATAAATAGCTGTATTTAGCAAACATTAAGATTATTACTCACAGTCAGGTAAGACAAATTAAAAGCTGTTCCGGACCAAAGAAAATATGCGTACTTGTCCGTACTTGCGTTCTTGCGGACCTTAGAAACGTCATCAGTCGGAGACCAACTGATCCAATTTCTGCACTGAGAAAATGAGCCGGTTTTGCTACTTCCTGTTTGGCATCTTGGATTTTTGGAGCCAGTGACGCAATAAACGTTGGAGGGGGACGGAGCCGGAGAGCAGCGATTGGTCAGACAGACTGAGAGTCGAGGACTCTCTGCCCGCCCACATTTACCGGCTTCTGCTGTGTTTACCGACGCTGCTGCTAGCAACGTTAGCCTCCAAAAGTGGAGCTGTACTCTACAGGTGAGTGTTAAAGTCGTCTCAGTAACCGGTTGTTTTCATGTCCACATCTGGACATGAAAACTCTTTATTGTATATAAAGCAGCGACCTGCGTTACTGTAGCTGAAGTTACTGTAAGTTAACATCAGACTGTGGAACCTCTGATGGTAAAACATGATCTAACATCGTGTTTAAAAATTGTTCTGTAAATCAAAGGTCACGTTTCCTGACGAGTTCACACTGATGCTACATCACGTTTGTCAGTGTCATAAATGAGTTACCTGCTGTCTGTGACGAAGTTTCCTGCAGGTCACATCAGATCAGAATGGAATTTCTCTGTAAGGGATTAATAAAGTATTATTATTATTATTATTATTATTATTATTATTATTATTATTATCAATCATAACTGATCGATAACATTATTACAGTCTGTTACCTGCTGCCGTGTCATGGCACACAGTAATGATCACCAGAAACTAAACCAAGCCAACGTTACACTACAGAACACTGTTAATCTCTCAGTTCAATAAATTAAGCTCAGTTCAGTTCATGTCACTGTTCTCTGATTTTTAACAGCTTCTGTTCATTTAACTGAGACAAACACCTGTTAAAATGATTCCTTCTCTTACAGAAACAGTAAAGTTAATGAGGTCTGATCACCATGACATGAGCATCACACTGAACCTCAGAGGTGAGTCATAGTTACTGTTCTTTAATGTAAATCAGTCCAGCAGACTGTTCTCTCTATGTCAGTGTTTAACAGACTGAGGAGCGCATCTAATCAGAGTGCTGTCTTCCCTTTTTCTCTATTAATCACATTATCATCCATCCATTATCTTTACACTGCTTAATCCTCACTAGGGCTCCGGGGGGCTGGAGCCTATCCCAGCTGACTTAGGGTGAAGTCAGGGGACACCCTGGACAGGTCGCCAGTCTATCACAGGGCTACACTTAGAGACAAACAACTAAGCACACTCACATTCACACCTACGGACAATTTAGAATCACCAATTAACCTCAACATGTTTTTGGACTGTGTGGGAGGAAGCCGGAGAACCCGGAGAGAACCCACACTGCACGGGGAGAACATGCAAACTCCACGCAGAACCGGGCCGGCGACCTTCTTGCTGTGAGGCAACAGTGCTAACCAACTGCGCCACCCTGCAGCCCTCACATTATCATACTTTAGACTAAAAAGAATCAACTTTATTGTCCTTCTAAGGCAGTAAAATGTTCTTTGGCCTTATCCAGGGAAACAAGCATTTTCATAAGATTAAAAACATGTCAAAAACATCCCACTTTCTATTGTGCTACAGTCATATCCTGCTGTGCACTCTCATATTTAATGTTCCAGCAGTGGGAATAAAAGAACCTTGTATATCTTTGTCTTGCTGTTTGTGTCTTTTCCTCCCAGCCATGATGTGGATCATTGGGTACATCTACGTCTGATGTGATCCATGAGCTATAGAGAACATGAACATTTAGCTGAGGTTGTCTGAGGTCAAGACTCTTCTCTCCTTCTTCATCCCTTTGAGGAAGAGCAGCACTGATGTCCTCCTCATCCATTACAGTAATAACAATAATGTTGAGCTGCAGTTTCAACTCCCTCTTTTCATAGAGCACACTTATCAAATGACTATTAAGTATTTAAGCTCCATTGTAAGCTGGGCTTACCAGAGGGTGAAAATTTTATACCCAGTGAAAATTGTGCATCGTCTTCCCCCTTTTCATTTTCTTCTTTTCTAACGTGTAAAACTACGTATCCCAGAGTCCGTAGCGCCACAGCGGCGGTTCCATGTTTGAAGAAGTAGTAGTAGTAGAGATCTGCTTGTCGGTGTTTGTCAGCTTTAAGGTAAAAGAAAGAGGAAAAGTGAGGGTTTTTTTTTCACAGACTAGAAGGACAGATAGGAAACCGTGTAAGGTGTGTAATTTCACACGACAAAAATTGTACGGTGTTGTAGTTCCATCCCTGGTCGAGCTGAAGCAAAAATGTGAGTTGCCATGGCTATAGCTGGAGTGACGAAACCTCAGGCTGACCTCTGATATTGGTCGACCCTCTTCCCCTCATCCTCTGCCTCTCTGAACCCTCAACCCAATAATATGTAATATCTTTCATTACATGTAAATGTAATAAAACATATTATAAATTATTTCTTACAGATTTCATTGGAGTATACTTAATTATATCACACCATTATTAATTATTAGATCAACAAATTTCATGTTAATATATATTATCATATATGAAAATATATATTAGCATGTTATGTTAATAACATATAGTTTAAAAGATTATAGCAAAATAAAAAAATACTACATTTTACAGAACATTGACAAAACAAACAAACAAACAAAAAACCGTTAAAAAAACAACAAAACAAAACAAAACAAACAAAAAACAGCAAAAATGTGAGTTGCCATGGCTATAACTTCTAAACGTGTCTAAAGGGAATTGCATATATGTTGCCTAAGGCAGCAGTTCGATCAAAACTATGTGTTACATTACCCAAATCTTGAAATTTAATATCATGTACTTGTACATGATGGCTACTGTATTTACCTTTTATCTTTGCACTACGACTATAAGGCAAAGAGGCTACATAAGGTGAAAGTAAAGTGAAATGTCTGATGTACTTACAGTGATCTTAAAGACTGTTGTCAGCCATTGGCATTGCAACCATGGTGATTCTGCTGCACAGCATAAGCTCACTTATCTGTCATGATCGTGGAGGACTTGTGTGTATAGCAACATTTCCATTTTCATTGCGTTCAAACTTGCAGCAGCTAAACATGAAAAGTCAGTCCTCTTCTTCTGCTCATTCCTTGAATCCTAGTCAAAAGACATTGCCCAGATCATTGTAGTCTTAAGGCGTCTGTCCATTACATATGTTGTTCAGCCTCTATTGTATTAATGGAGCTAGGACTGCAAGGTTGTGTCACTGTCTTTTCAAAACAATCTACATGTTGACAATACACATGTATTTTTGAGCTTAAGAAAGTATTTTAACTATTGATGACACAATTCCTGGAATGTTGTCATTTGAAAATCTTCCCTTACTTATGACCCTATTGTAGAGATATAACTCATCACTACCAAATGTGTTGTTTCTGCTGGTAATCAGCAAGCATGTTCTCATTTACGCAGATACAGTCAGCGTACAGATAACATAAACACAGATAAATACAAAGTAAATTACATTAAAGACTCAGTTGGGGGACACACGCAAACCACATGCATGGTTTTACCATTACTGTAAAAAATGCAGAATTCCAAGAGGCCTGCAATGAGGTTAGGATGTCTGAAATAGTAAACAGGACAACCACTCAACAGCTCCGACGTCCTGTATGGCAAATGGAAAGTGTGCTGATGACAGAGCAGGTGGCAACTCAGATGCACTGATGTGTTTAAACTGCAGAAGTATTTGCTTCCAGTACTGATTGTTTTGCTATGAGAAATGACCATATGGCGGAAGACTTCTTCTCTGGGGCCCTCATTAAAAAGATATTCACATAAGATCTATCAAGTAAGTCATTTCTTCTCCCTACAGGGTGGGAGATTCTTGGGTACAGCCCCAGTGACCTTGTTGCAGTGGTACTCGAGAAAGATGGGACAATCGTGGAGAATCAAGCCTACTTTTTGTGTTTACCCTTAAACACAAAGTTGATGCTGTTGCATGAAAAAGAGACGTAGTCTCCAGTTTGCAAGAGTAAGCAGCTTTACTTCTATCTGAGATTTGTCTACAGTCTTGACTGATTCCTATAGTAAACGTCAGTGAAATGTGCATCTTTGAGTGTTGGTACTCATTTACTTTTCTCATTGTAGTGGATGGCAGCACAGCTTGGATGGCTCAGGAGTCAGGGCTGCTGGAGACTGATACTGTGGACGCCTGCAGTTCAGTGGCTCCCTGGTGAAGCTTAGCTCAGCAGCTGAAGCAGGACATGGCCAGCATCATTCTCATGTCTAAGGTAGATCTATAGGTACCAACTGTAACTGCACCAGTACGATGAAATGAACACACATCATACAGATGCCTTTTGAATATTTATTTCCCCTCAACACCCAACAAATATTTCAAATATACGGTGTCCAGTTGTTTTCTATAGTTTCCCTTAAAAAAGTGTCTCTATTTACAAGGATTCAAAAAATAAATCTAAGCCAGTTTCAGTGAGGTCAGGTGCAAATATGCTAGCTAGTTACATGATTTAAACAACCCATACAAAAGCACTTTGACTAATACTACAAACAAATAGAACCTAGAAACTGTTTTTTTTTTTTAATTACTATTATTATCATTGGTTAAACTTGCATGCCATATAATTATGTATTAAGGTGTTTCAATCCAGAGCCATACATAGTAGTGTATTATTACTTTAAGCATACGTTGTGTCACCTGCTGTTCAGACCTCAGTGGATGCCCTGTGGTCTGAACTGGCCTCTGCTTTGGGCTTTCAAGAAAGGAAAGCTGAGGACCTCCAGGAGAAACTGCAGAGGGTTTTGGATTGAAGAGAGGAGGAGAGGCAGTCCAAGGAATTGCTTCAACTTTACCTCAAAGCTGCAGAGAAAGCGAATGGACAGCAGGAAGAATCCCGCCAGCCTGGCCAAGGAGGTACGACTGTGGCATCATCTGGTAGCTTTCATTTTGATCTTTTTGAAAAAGTTATTCTTAACAAAGATCTAGGACATTTTGTTCTTGCTTTACTATCTGAAGAGCATCAGTAATTTATAGTGTGGCTCTCTGACACAATATAAACTCTGTGATAAGTTGCTACTGGTCAGAAAGTCAGAAAGCTTTTGTACGGCAGTTGAGATAAAGACCCTCTAAAGAAACTTTGTAGACTATTTCATAGCACTATTAGTTCTTCAAGAAAATCAAC